CCACATTTAGTGTCGCCCCAAACGGGTAAACGAAACTGATATTCTGGATCTGATTCGTGTCGTCGTTTTCTCCGTTATTAAGTTTCTGGAGTTTGTTTGCGCTCTGAAGTAATCCTCTGTTGAGAATGCCGTTCCCTATCTGTGCCTCTTTCGGGTGATAATACTTATAATAAGCGCTTCGAACCACAGTATCTAAATGTATGATACATGTACATTTTTATAAATCATTTTATAGCAATTAATTTTTATCATTCAACTTATAATAAATGAATTGTTGCATTGATTTACCAATTTTATTGTCATAACTAATTAACAAGAATTTTCAAACTAAATGTCTGTTTAAGACGATTGCAAAGAGAATCGCTATAATTTAATGGGAAATATAACGTACAAGTAATTGATTCTTAGATATTAAATATATGGGTATTTTATAAGCCTATTTAGGACCCAAAACGTGTATAAAATTTAATCACTACTACCGGTTTACGCCGCATATAGTTACATGCACTAATATCTGAGTTTTCACACAAGGAATCCGGATATAGATATTATTTGCACATTTTTGACTCAATTGAAAGGGTAATGTTCAAATCAGGTTAAAACTGCACCCGAGAATTACTGTGATAAAATCTAGATACACTGTAAGAAGTACACTGTTATGCTTTATTTGGAGACTTCCACTTCGGATTTACTTATAAGTGCATGCACCTATATGCGGCATAAAACGGTAGTTCTATTTGTTATGCATTCTGTGACAATTGTGCTGCTCGTATGTCACAGAATATATATAAATGATGTGTCAGTTTGATAACCAAATAGTGTGTTTTGAAACACAGATTAGAATTTTTAAAATTAAAAATTAATTAAAATACTGGCCATTATTTATAGAGATTCCGTATTCTTCTAACAAAAAGTTGACATTAGTTCCGGCTTTTCGTTCTCCTCCTTCTCCTAACATAACAAATAGTTTTCCGCCGTTTTGTATATGTTTTCTCAAATGTTTAAACTATTCAATGAAATCATTATTTAAAACATTAAATTATCAAAGCTTTTCATTGCTTACTTCAATGTCTGTATATTTCGCTTTTGGGGCTAAAATTAAAAAAACAGTCGATTGCGATAACATTTCACTTGTGATCTCTTCTTTGTTACTGCAAAACATTTAAAATATTTTTAAAACAATGCGACAAACATTGCATTTTAAATGTGCTATAAACGTACCTGCTCACTTTCCATCCACTTGTTTTAAGTCTTCGTTGTAAAGTCCTGTAGCCATCGTTGAGTGAGAAGTTAGTACTCTTCGAGATATCAAATACAATGGTATTTGAATTTGTTTCCTGAGGTTTATTTGAGTTGTCCTATAATTTAAAAATATTTATAAAAGGCTTATAAGTGTTGTCATAAAAAACTGAATATTTTTATAAGCAATTTAAAAGTAATCATATTCTCATACCATGGATATACTTTATTATTAGGAATTTGATAAAGTTCGCAAAATGTATATTATATAATGATACACACGATTGATATAGTTATATATGGATGACAACATTCTGTGATTAAATATATTATATAATACTCGGAGTTATGGACAATAGAAACCAAACAAAAAACACAACATAACAACCAAACAGATTCTGTTGCCTATATATGAATGCATTAATACTGCTATTCTGTAAACAACTAATTGAATAGTTTTGTAGTTGTAAAATATATATTAAACATATATTAACTTTATTTTTATGTTAAATCTAAATTTATTTTCAAAACCCAATTCAATAGTTAGCTTATATTCTGACAATTTATTCTATCTTCAAATTCTTTAGCAAATATTCTTATATTCTCTAAAGTGTAAAAAACTTTAATAGCTTTTGCATTGAATATTAAAATAAGATAACAGTAATATATAGCATACCATTGGCTTTCAATGAAGTCATAAATTGTATAATTTAATAAAACATCATTTTATTACAGAAAATACAATTAAATGACGAGAAGTGATGACAAGCGGATTGAAGAGAGTATTGAATCCAAGTTCTCAGTCAGCAGTAAGTAATGCTGTTTTGAATTTGCCATTAATTACGGCAAACATTGAATAGAAGTTAGGAATAAGTGTTGAAATAGTATCGAGAAAATTAAGCCCAGAAAATGAGACCTTGAATACCATTCAAACCATTTGTTTTACATTTTAAATCAATTCAGACATTGATTTGAGGAAAGAGTTTAATACTTGACTAGAAATAAATGATTATTAATCAAATTTGGTATAAATTTAGTGTATTTCTAGTGTTTTATATAATAGATGAATGAGTGTATAGTTTAAGTGATTCCGTGTCCAAAGTATTGTGGGTTTGGGTTCTCGAAGAGTTGTCTCAATTGCGGTGACAATAATAGCCAAAGAAGACACCATTTAGTCAAACGATAAGCATTTTAAGTCAGATGTGATGTAAGTCTTCGTCAATCATTTTTTTATCTCATTTATTAACTTATAATTAATGTGTTAAACGTTAACATTAAATAATAAATAAATATATATTTTTATTGTTTATTACATTATAAGTGAGTTATCAATACATTCATAAAACCAACAAACTTTTGATGCAATTTATTAATAGATAAATATTTGCTTATATAATGTACTGTATATTACAGTCAAAGTAATTATGTATTAATGAATAAGTATTGCAATACTTCTTATCCGATATGAAATGTGGTTACGATTAAAGAGATTAACAGATTATGACTGGAATTGTGATTATAATTGAAGCTAAATATAAATTCTTAGACACGAATAGTCCCCTCTTTTTATATACCTTAACAAATGTGTGCCAACTGTCCCGACACTCGTACGTTCACTACATCTACAATATATACTAAATTCACGTCTATGTTAAGTACGATATCATTATTCCTCTACACATGTATTGTCATAAAGTTTATAAAACGTAATCAATGTTTGAATTAATTGCAATTAATGAGAAAATTAATGTAAAAACATATCGTAATCTAAATCCCAGAGAGTCCTCATCTGAGAAACACTTTTAGATATAAGTTTTGTTTGTATATAATTTGAGAAAAAGTTTGACACTATTATACTTATTATATAAGCTAATAGACCAATACAGTACACGATGCCAAAAGACCTGGATATGTTATCATACGATATGCGATACCAGAGTCTGAAAGCCTTTATTTGTTTGAAAACTTCTTCGTTAGTTGAAATAAATTACAATTTCTATTATCTATAGTTTTTTAAGTTAAATATTAATGTTTTATGAAAATACTTAAGACATGAATTGAGTTTAGAAGACATAAACATTTACCATAAAATTAGGCCTTTCTATGAGAGACTAACAGAAGTATACCAAATAAGTTGTTACCCAAAAAATGATGCTTCAGCTCATGAATGTTTAAATATTTATATCATTAAAAAAGTTTATTTATTTTTCTCTTGAATGTAAACATTTGTAAGTTTAATAGACTTAGACATCACTGCCCTATATATACAGTATAAGGAATTTCCAATTCATTGAATGGTTGACAAACACATTATTCGTATTATTGAACCGATTTTTAAACTTTGAAGAAGTGTTCAAATATTATTGATTAATAGTATTGAATGGTAATCAGTAAAACATCGTTCGTTCCCAACCTTATCGTATTGGTTGCAATTTGTTTGCTTTTAGTTTTGCAGCAAAAAGTTGATAAATTTCTCCATTGAAGTACAAAACCATTACGAAATGTTTTTATCAAATGAGAGTTAAAGGGTCTCACATTCGCACAAATACACTGTATATTACAGATTGAATTCTAGATAAGACTTCTCTCTGTGTGATTGTAAATGAATTGAACAAAAAATTTTATTTATTTTATTTTACACCTCTTCTGATGTCAGAGCTATAATAAAAGCACTGAAAACCGAAATAATAAACTTCTCGACAATGACTGTCACCGCAAATGTCACTAATTCCGAGATTTGGGAAAATAACAAGAAGTATGCCGTCTATAAAGTGGTCGTCAATTGTGATGACAAGACTTGGGTTCTCTATCGTCGATACAATGAATTCAGCAAATTATGTGATTTAGTTAGTCATCAATATTACAATTACCTCTTTTTTCACTACCATTTTCAATGTGTATTACTTTAATTGTATGATTAGATTAAGAAACAGTGTCCGTGGCTTTCGAAGGACCTGAAACTGCCGGGAAAAAAGCTCTTCGGCAACAATTTTAGCACCGAATTCATGAAGACTCGTCGCAAAGGTTTGGACACTTTAGTGCAGACAATGCTCGCCGAGCCTCGCGTTTTAGACCAGTGAGTAGTATAAGTTTTATGATAATTGTCTACATATGGTAAACAAATTACTGACTGTATTGATGGACACCGATAGCGCGGAAGTGCGGACTTTCTTCCAATTGGATCGCATGAGTATGAAGAGCAGTAGTGGTGACGACGATCAGGACAATGAGGAAGAGTTGACAATCACTGCCAACAATATCGGCAAATTGATAGATTTGGGACCGTCTGAGAAGCCTCACGCGAAAGCCAGTGATTTTGAGTTCTTGAAAGTGATAGGAAAGGGAAGTTTCGGTAAAGTGTATTCCGCTCGCCATAAGGCCGAAGACATCATATATGCCGTTAAAGTCCTCAACAAGAAAATGATTATCAAAAGGAATGAAAAGAATCACATAATGAGTGAACGAAATGTTTTGCTCAAGAATTTGAATCATCCGTTTTTGGTCGGACTCTACTATTCGTTTCAATCACGAGAAAAATTGTATTTCGTTTTGGATTACGTCAACGGCGGAGAAGTATGACATGAGATAACATTAATTACTATTACTATTATTATTTTATTTTATCACTCGTTTTATTGACATTGACTGACTTTTCATATGTTTTATTACTTTTTTACACATTTTTAGCTATTTTTTCATTTGCAAAAAGAGCGATATTTCGCCGAACCTCGGGCTCGCTTTTATGCCGCAGAGATTACCAGTGCTTTAGGTATTTGATTGTATTGTCTTTTTATATTGGAAACAATTAACGGATTGTTTGTTGACATTATCGACAGGTTATCTTCACTCACAGGGAATTGTTTACAGAGATTTAAAGCCTGAAAATATTTTGCTCGATTCCGACGGACACGTGATTCTCACTGATTTCGGACTTTGCAAAGAAGGTCTTCGAGAACGCGACACAACCAACACATTCTGCGGAACGCCTGAATATTTGGCTCCAGAAGTGCTTAAAAAAGAGGCTTACGATCGGACAGTCGACTGGTGGTGCTTAGGAGCCGTTCTCTATGAGATGCTTTACGGACTCGTGAGTCTTGTTTCTGCGCTATTATCCAAACATATTGTCCTTAATTTTTATTAATTTAATGATGTTTTGAACGATAGCCGCCTTTCTATAGTCGAGACACGGCTGAGATGTACGACAATATACTGCATAAACCGGTTAGACTCCGTACAAACATATCACTGGCCGCTCGCAGTATACTTGAAGGGGTAAATGTCCTATAAATGCATTCATATAAATATTGTTTGAAAACAATTCAATAAACAATACATTTATCTATTTATTAGTTATTACAAAAAGATAAGAAAAAACGTTTGGGTTGTATGGAAGACACAGAAGAGCTTAAACGTCACGAATTTTTTAAACCAATCAATTGGTCTGATCTCGAATCCAAGAATATTCCGCCGCCTTTTAATCCAAATGTGGTACGAATTTATACACTGTTATAATCACTAAAATTTGGACGTATTATACATTAGTTCTGATGATATAATTAAAATTAATTTGATTTACAGAAAGGAAACTTAGATTTCAAAAATATTGACCCAGAGTTTACACGCGAAGCGATTCCGGCGTCGGTCTGTAAATCGCATGGAATGAGTGTCGGATCGAGTCTTCCGGACAATGCCTTTCAAGGGTTTTCATACGCGCCTCCAATCGAGCTGAACGGCCGATAGGCGTCCACCAAATGATAAGTACAACAATTAAACGATTACTACGATTACTACACTATGAGCTTAACTCTAATCTAATGTAAACAACAATTTATGAAGAACTTCGCACACATTCTAAGAGTTACTTCCAATTAATTACCGTCTAATCAAATAAGAAATCAAATTCAGTGCAACAACTAGTCGTCGATTGTTTTATTTATAGCTATATTTTTCTACAATTAATGCCATATCTGATGAAATTGATATCAAATCATTCAATCAATGCTCAAACTATTTAATTGTTTTATTAATTATGAAAATATTTAATTCGGTTATAGAGTCATAATATACAGTCACGAAAATATAGAGCTCTCAGTACTCAATACATTTGATTACATTGAGTGCATTTCATTACATTTGATAATAAGTTATTAGATTATCGTTAATATTAAGTGTTTCTATTTTATACATGAAGTTTAATATCAGCAAAATTTGAAGTCTATTACAATTGCCATTACATTAATTGTGTAATAATATATGTTTTAGTCTTCAGTCCAGACAACTATTAATTAAACCAATTTTACTGTAAAATAAGTCACAAAATGAATGTAAAAGATTTTGTCCTATATTTTGTTATAAAAAGATTTTAAAATGTTTTCAAATTTATTTTGCAATAAAATTCTTTGCTATATTTTTATAGTTTTATTAACATTTCTAATCATTGTTTTCTTGATTGTCTTGGTTTTGATTTCCCTTTGAAGTTTTGGATGAAGTTTTGGATGAATTTTTGGTTTGTTTTGAACTTTTATTCAATGATCCAGTTTTTGTTTTTGTTGTTTGTGTCGGCAATGCTTTTGTTTGACTCCTAGTGGTCGGAGCCGTTCGCGCCGTTTCTACTTCTTTTCTACCACTCGATGTCTGCCGATTGTCTTCTTTAGGTTTGTTCTTCTGTTTAGTTTGTGTTTCTTTTTTGGTTTCTTGGTTTGTATCCATTGGTTCGGGAAGAGAGACATCCTTTTTGCGTCTCTTAAATAACAGTTTTCCCATTTGGTAGTCATAATCAGGAGCACCTGCTTTGCGCTTCTGGGTCTGTGTATCACAACTTGGTTTCAGAGTCTTTACCTCTTTTCCTCTCATGGTTTTGCCGGCGCCGGAGAACGGACTGAAACTATTGACGGCTTGGGTTTGGGCTTGGGTTTGAAGTTTATCCAAATCACATTCATCGGGCAATTCGTCGGGCAATACGGGTTTTTTCTCCATTTCTACGAAGTCAACCACGAGATCACATTCAGTGATATCTATGGTATTTGCCGGCAGTGTCTCACAGATTCTCAATTCATAGATTTGGTTTTCGTAGTAAATAGAGATGATATTGTCTTTACTGATGCAGACATAGGAGTGGAGACAGTGTTCAAGAGTTGTTTTCGGATCTCTGATGTCTAAGAAGGCTTTGGTGAGCGGTTGGAATTTGGCGAACGATCCTTTTGGCATCGATTTGGTCAACATTTCCAATGAGACAATACCATCCGACTCGAGTCCAAGTGCTTTCAAAATCCAAAGCGGAACCAATACTTTGCCCTCTTCACCATCGAAGGAGTGAACGCCACAAACTATACTCAAGTCATCCTTAGTTAGTCTACAATTAGAGAATCAATACTTAAATCACGTTTTGTTTCGCAATAGAAGAGCGTATTTAGAAAATGACTTGAAAATCATTGGCGATTGGTTTAAGAAATGTATTCTTCGGAATATACTGTTCGACAACACTATTCTTCCGCTGTGTTTCGCTTCCAACACTCTTTGGTTACTATTGTCTCCGAATTGAGTGATGGGAAAGGCGTGCAAACTTCCCAATCTTATAGTCCTGTAATTCTCATCCATTCCCACTCTTACCACTGGATTCGCACAGTTTTTTAATTTACTTATTTTTAAATATTGAATTGGTTTTCGCGAGACTTTTATATTATAACAATTATATATTGTATTTGTGATTCAGTATTACATTTTATAA